CCGGGGCGGGGCCGCGAGCGGCATGGAGGAGGCGGAGGCCGCGGCGCGCCGGGCCGAGCGGTGCGGGCCTGAGAGGTGCTCGAGCGGGGCCAGGGGGTCCTGAGCCGTGAGTGCCGCCGGGCGTGGGGCTGGGAGGGGTGGCGCGGCCGGAACAGGGCTCGCGAGTCCTGGGAGGAAGAGAGGGGTGCCAGATAGGATGGGGCAAGGGTGGAGGATGGTGGGGGGAAGGTCGCTGTTCTTTGCCCACCCCAGGACTGGGAAGGCCTGAGGCTTGGTCCTTTTAGGGGCTGATGAACCTTGAGAGCCGATTATTTGGCCTCCCCCTTTGGGCCCTGGGCAGCTCTGAGTCAGATAGTTTCCTCAGCCTCAGGGAATTTTCAGGCGATCTAAACATTCTGAAGGTTTTCCTGCCAGGCCAGGGAAGTTGAGCCACTTTCCCCATGTCACACAGCATGGATGCTTGCAGGGAAGAGATGCTGGGAGGTCCTCCCTCAACTCCCCAGAAGGCATCAGACTTTGGGAGGAGCACCTTACCCCATGTGACCCTCTGGGCCCCTCAGATTCCTGAAGTCATGGGCTGGTGGCCAGAACAGTGGTGAGCCCCCCAATCCGGCATGGACGACTGGAAGCCCAGCCCCCTCATCAAGCCCTTTGGGGCTCGGAAGAAGAGGAGTTGGTATCTTACCTGGAAGTATAAACTGACAAACCAGCGGGCCCTGCGGAGATTCTGTCAGGTATAGAGATGTCTCAAACCTCCCTGGGGCTCCCTCCCAGCTTTACCCCAGCCTAGACTATGGGCACTGGGACCTACCTTGGCCACCCTCAGCTGGAAAGGGGCAGCAAGTTCCAGAGGGGAAATCTCTTTGTGTCATATTCCTACCAGGTAGTGGTTTGGACCCAGAGTTCTGGAACCGCAACTCAAGTACAATGTCCTAGGCTACAGAAGCCTGAAGTCTGATCAGGAAGGCTTTGTCCAAGGGCACACACTTGTTAGGCAGTTACAGCTAGGATCCAGGTTTTCTGATCCCCAGCTTGGTTCTCTGGACCTGGCTTCATCTTTAGGAACCAACTGTGGAGGAACCATGGAAAAGGCCTCAAATGGAAGAATACAAGAGCTCTGGGTAGGGAGGGCCCTCTGATGAAGGGGAAGGGTCAAGGGAGGTTCCCTGGAGGAGCTGACCATGAAAGTAGGCTCTGGCCCAGGGAGTAGAGCTGGGCAGACAGAGGAAGAGACAGGTCCCAGGTTCTCCCTGTGCCCTCACTGTAACCAGGGCCCTCCTTTCAGGAAGACCCTCTATGATCTGGAGGGGGTACTCCTCTTAGTCATCACCATCCCTCCCCTCAGACAGGAGCTGTACTTTTCCTACTGGTGACTGTCATTGTCAACATCAAGTTGATCCTGGACACTCGG